TTCTTCCGCCAGTAAAGACGCCAGTTTTACACCGTGTCAGTCTTCTTGTCTCTTGAAAAGCACCCAAAGATGGAAGAATATATTTTATTTGATAATATTATTTTTGAGTCATCTAGTAGTGCTTCTTCGAGTGACAGTAATGATGATGAACAGTTAATAAATATAATTTTAAATAACAGAAATGAAAGAAGAGTGCCAAAAATTCGAAACTATTTGGAACATGTTGTTGCATTGTACACAGATATCGAATTTAAATCACATTTTAGGTTAATATAAGCTATATACATATTTATACATAAAATATATTGCATACATTATTATAAAATATTTGTGTTAATAATACAAATCATAATAATAATATATCTTTAATTACAGAATGGAACGTAATACTTTTAATTGTTTGATGTATTTAATTGGACCAAAATTAGATAACATTCCATTTAAAGGAAGAGAACAAATTAATATTGTAAAGCAAATATTAATTGCTATTTACGTCCTAGCAACACCAGATTCGTTTCGCTCTATAAGTGAACGATTTGATGTAACCAAATCAACTGCATGGCTTACTACGAAAAGAGTAGTTCGAGCAATATATAGTATTCGAAATCACTTTATTAAATGGCCTACCTATGAAGAAGCTGAAAACACTTGGACAAACATTCAGACATTATATGGATTTCCTAAAGTTCTGGGCATTATTGATGGAACGCACATAAACATTGCTCGACCAAAAGAAGACGCCAATAGTTATATAAACAGAAAAGGCAGATATTCTATACAGTTACAAGTAAGAATAAAATGTTATCTATCATGTTTTTATATTAAAAAATACATAGTAAATATATTTTACAAAGTTGGATATATTTTAGTTAAATAATTAGCAAAGTATTACATATAACAAATTGCCTTTTTTAGGTAATATGTAAGAGTGATTTATCATTTATTCACGTATTTGCTAGAATGCCAGGATGTGTCCACGATATGCGAGTGTTTCTTTATTCTGGAGTTCAACAATATTGTAATCCAGAGTATTTTCCTGACAACAGTCACTTATTAGGCGATGCAGCATACAATATCCAAAAAAATGTTATGGTGCCATTCCATGATAATGGTCACTTAACTAACGAACAAAAAAAATTTAATCGCTGCTTGTCATCTGCTCGAATGATTGTTGAAAGATCGATAGGATTATTAAAAGGACGATGGCGGTATTTAGGAGATAAATTACCTATGACAAAAACAAATTTAATTCCTTATTACATAATTACTTGTTGCATATTGCATAACATATGTTTGTTACGGAATGATCGTATTGAAATCCCTATTATTGTTCCTGAAATAATGCATGAAATGCAACCGCTAGGTATCACTAATAACTTGAAAGAAGAAGGAAATATTAAAAGAAACAGATTGATGCAAATAATTGCTTGTAATGATGTTGAAAGAATTAATTAGAATTTAATGAGAGATGTATTATATCATAGCATTATCTAATTAGAATTTGTACGTACAAAACAATAAGATGTCGTATTTTACATTTGTGATAATACATAAAATATTAATATATGATTTCTATTTTATATCCTTCATTTTAAATAATATATAAAAATTTTTTTCGTATATTTTTATTCGCATATAATTATAATATATTATAAACTGTATTATAATTAATATAAAGTAAAATTGTAAGAACAATATGCATTTAATAATTTTAGAAATATATATTTATTATTTTGGTATATTTGTACTTTTTCATATACATGCGTGAGCGTGTGTTCGTTAAAAATAATTTTAATATATGGTAAACGTTAAACATAAAGTTAATATAATGCCATAAAAATACGAAAGAACCATTTTATTATAAAACTTATGTTTATATAATCACAAACATAACTGGTTTGAAAAATAAATGAACACAATACTTAAATTAAATCACTTAAAAATTCATATTTGAATTTTCACATATAAAAATAATGATCTCTATTATATAAAATGCACTTAAATCTGAATACAATATTATCTGTTAAAAATGATTTTAATATATGTTAAACATTAAACATAAACTTAACATAATGCCATACAAATCAAGAGAATTTCTTTATTATAACGCTTATATTTATATTAATCACAAAGAAACTTTGGCTTAAAAAATAAACATAATACTTAAATTAAATCATCTAGACACTCACATTTGAGTTTTCATATATAAAAATAATAATCTCAATTATATAAAAAAAACATGGAATTAAACCTGAATATAATACTTTGTTACTAAATTAGACAATATCAAAATTAATTTCTTAGCTATTCAGCAAAAAAAATATGTGACCAAAAATGTAATATTTTTGATAATACGAGTTGTAGTATTATTAAGGTACGAGTAGCAATTATAGAATAATTTTTAATAGTATAATGAAACATAAATTTTTAACGATTTTGGAACGTAAACTTACATTTTTTTCTTTATGTCTTTCTGTACACACATTACTGTTTCCGATTTTCAAATGCTTCTTTTATTTCTTTTAATATTTGCAATTTTGTTGCTCTGTAATTAGCAGTTTCCTCTCTTTTTAATCTTTTATCTTCTAATGAAGCTTCCATATAATTCACTCTTGCTTCATTTAATGAGATTTTTCTTTGCTCTGCATACAAAATATATTGAGTTATATAATAATATATAATTTTTATATAAAAATATACTTGAGTAAAATGTTTTTTTATAGTTACTTACTGACTGGTAATTCATGTTCATCACTATCAGTTAATGGTGAATGTTCAGGTTCTTTAACATTCGATCCTGCTACAGCTAATGGTTTTATCCAATGTTTCTTTTGAAAAATGTCATCTAACACCTAAACAAATAAAGTATAAAAATGTATAAAAATGTCTGATAATTTAATAATTACAATAGTTATTGTATCGATATATTACATCTAAATATATCCACTCCTTTCTGTCGTTCCCACTCTGAGCGTTGTGGTCAGTAATTTGACGATATCGTCTCTTTAATGCATCCATTTTATTATTGCACTGACTGCCAGTAAACTTGTATTTCTTTTCCTTCATGCACTTAGCAATTTCTGTCCACATCTTTTTATGACTACCTTTTCCTAGTATATCTGATTTTTCTTTATATAAAGATATTAGAAGAAGTATAGCTTTATGTTCCCATTTTATTTTATTTACTTCTAAGATGAAAAGAATAATAATTATTACATTTTAATTTTCACACTACTATTACTGAAACTTACCTATGTCTTGAGTATCTGAAGCATTTTCACTGTCAGAAGTAATATTATTTTGAAGTATATTTTCAGTAATGTCAGTAAGAACTACTGTTTCTGTTATGTTTGAACTGGGTTTACTGGTATCATTTGCCATCATATTTTTTGGCGAAACAGAATTATGTGTATCTTTAGAACTCAGTAACTTTTTTGCTCTTTGTAGTAATGTAGTAGCAAACATCATGTCTGTAGAAAACAATAATGATATACAATGGTGATGTACGACAATATTAATATACATAAGAAGATAATTATTCTAACCTAACTAATAACTTTGTAACAAATGTTACATTAATGATTACTATTATTAAAATATAGATTATTATTATAAAGTTATATATACCATTATGAGCACGATTATAGTCTTCCCTTTGTACTTTTATAGTATATTCGACATTTGTTTCTTCGTCGAGCAATTTTAAATCACGTAGAGAGATATTTTTAGATTGTATAACAGATTTCTCCATTTCTTTAAACTTTTGTAACCAAAAATCAATTACCCGTTCAATTTTTAACCTAAAAATTTTCTTTGTATTATTTTGGATCACACGGATCACTAATCATTGATTAATTCGCGTGTCTTCGAAGAGTCGTTATTTATATTTTACGTACATTATATTTTACACGTAAAATGGATTCTTATATCATGCAGGTAGAGAGTATAGTCGCAACGTAGTATTGTACAATATTAAAGTCATATTACTTTTTCACTTCTTCGTTTCGCAGATTCGACGAGTGTGGCTCAACCAGGACGGGAATGCGTTGGCGGTAAATAACTTGTCAATCAAATTTTATATCGATTGCACAAATAATCGTTTCCTCGTAGGATCTCTTGTCTCTACGACACAGTCACGTTT